TTTTTTTTTTTCCCCTTTACCTGAGACAGTGGCCAGTGTCCTTGTGAAGAAATGAGCAGCATTATTAGGTTGTCAGGAAAGTCATGATGTATTTTTCTGTTTTTCTATTCAAAAAATGCATCTCGACTTTCCTGATAACCAATAGAAGAAAAGTTTTCTATCTTGAGTCGATGATTAGAAGATGATGCCTCTCCTTGGAGATAAACGTAAAACCCAGATATCTTGTGATACTTACCTTCACAGACAAATAATTTCAATAACTGTAGAGTTAGGAAGTGGGAAAACAATGACATCTAGAGGGGTGTTGGCACAATTGGTGTAAACCTCTTCACTAATTCTAGTACTGATCTGTTACTATTTTCCTATTAATCACCAAACCTTCTGCCTTCTGAACAGAGACGCGAGTGTCTCACTTTCCAGGGCTCCCTTTTACTTCATCCAGAGTGGTCCGCCCAACTTCCACTGGGGACGTGACAGCCACTGCTTCTTGGGGACATATGGTGCCATCACTGAAGATGAATCCTAACTTGCATGACAGACCAGGCTGGCTTTCGAACAGAGTCCAGCTCAGGTGTCTGTAGCTCTTCGATAAGCTCCCTGCCCTCAGGCTGCTGAGACCATTGCTATAGGCCTGAGCTCCAGCTCTCCTTCCCACACCCCCAGCCTTTTCAGGACTTAGCCTGATCCCCTCCGTGCTGAGGATGCAGAGCTTCTGCCCTGCAGTCTTCCCCGGTTCCCAGCACTGCCTAGAACCTCCAAGTGTTGCCTTCGGCATACCCCTGATTGGGTCAGTTAGACCTTCCCTTCAGAAATGACTGAGAATGGCGTGCGCTCGCCAGACAGACAGACAGAGACATAGAGACAGAAAGCGAGAAATCACCCCCCAGGGGGGATGGTCACGCCGCAATCCCTTCTCCTCCATTCTCCTCTCGGGATCTTGGGCACGCACGCACACACGCCCAGCGTGAGTTTTTTAAGCCACCAGGTCCGGGACACGAACTGCGGTCGACTACGTGGGAGTCCAGCGACATAGCCATTACGCTAACTGCTGGTTCCCAAGAAAGCCTGTTTTTTTCACGAGAGATAAAAATCCTTCCAACCCTGCTCATGCCACTTACTGCCATTACATGTCATGACCAGCTGATCGCATTTGTCCCCTAATCCCTGCTCCTTCCTTGGGCTCAGAGGGGCTGAATGTCTTCCCCCTGTGCAGCAGGCCAGAGCTGGAATTCTGTAAACCAGAGGAGGAGGATGGTTGCTGTGTAGGTGTCAAGAGCTTTCCCCCATTTACAATTTTTCTATGATTCTAGGTAAAGTTAGACAGGAGGAGCGATCAGGACCAATCCCCATGCCAGGAATGACTTGCCCATTGCTGAGAACACTGAGTGACCTGTCGGGGTCTGGGGACACAAAGCAGCAGATGCCAGGAGACAGATGGTGAGTCTGAACCTTGGATGGGGAGATACTTTGACTTCAGAGCCGTGCGAATATCCCCTCCCCTGGTAACTCCCACCACACAAGCAGCCCACATCCCTCAGGGCTGCGTGGTACAGGACAAACCACTTCAGGCCTAATGGCCCCTCCCCTCTGCCTGGGAGTGATGTGGGTGCCCCTACACAGTTTTCATGGCTCACGAGGTTGCTAGACATGTCACAGTTGGACACATCTGCCCCATGGGAAAGCTTCTGAGTATTTTCTGATTTACTCTTTGTTCTCCAATAAACATGACATATCAATAATACCCCTTCCACAGGGATTCATGGACTGGAATCAGAACTCTGGGTTTAATTAGGCCCAGATGTGGGAGAGGAACATGCAACAGCCCATGTGTGAAGTAAAGATGAATTCTGAGCTGGAGGGGACAGACACATTGAAGCTCCACTCAGTGATGCTGATGAGATGCCCTGGAAGTACCCACAGAAGAGGTCCCTGGACAGGGACAGGATCAGCCCCAGGAAGCTCTTCGTGGATATGGTTGAAGTCTGTGCCCAAGCATGACAGGAGAAGGGTACACCTGCCCCTGAAGGTAGCTCAAGTGCTGAAGGCCAGAGTGATGTCTGCCAGACCCATCGCCCCTAGCCCGGGCAGGCATCTTTCCAGGGGACAGCATGAGTGAGCAGGAGCTCAGAAGCTGGGCATGGTTACTGCTGAGTCAAGCTAGGAAGCTGTCAGTATGCTGGCCAGCCCTGCAGGGGACAGTAACCCTCTCTCCTGTGACACAGGGAGAGAGGCTATTAATGGGGTCTAGACAATGTTTCCACTGTTGTCTAAGTGACAGACAAACATGAACCTCCCTAAACATTAACACCAAGCAAGTAGCTGATTCAGCTTCATACAATTCTATTCCGAAAACAAAATAAGCTGCTACTTCATCTTCAGGGTAACACTTGTGTTTCACACTAACAAACCAAGGATGAATCTGAGTTCTCCCACCTCCCCAGAGAGTCAGAACAGCAGGCGGTGGTGGAGGAGCACAGCTGTGTTCCATATCCGCGAAGAGCTTCCTGGGGCTGATCCTCTGCAAAGGAAGGGCTCTGAGGAGGCAGCTACCAGGGAGGGATGGAGCACTGCAGGACTCCCAGTCTCAGAGCACAGAGCAGAGGGGCTTTTCCCCACAGCTCAGCTTGCTAGAAGGTCCTCCCTGATGTCTAATCCCTAGGGCTCCCTACTGGTAATGAGACAGTATCATTTTATTGCTTTCCTACTAAGAGCAGGGTTTTTCTAAGAGCAGGGTTCACTTTTGTTTTTAAACAGGAATAGATGAGGCTTGTGTGCCATCTAGTGTCAGTCTTGTGACATTGCATCTTGTGGAATTTTAGATACTAGGTCTCAGTGAGTCTTCACTGTGAATCTTTTCCTGGATGTTCATGAAGCTGATTCTTTTTCTTCTATCTTTTTCTTTCTTTCTTCCTTTCTTTTCTTTCTTTCTTCCTTTCTTTTCTTTCTTTCTTCCTTTCTTTTCTTTCTTTCTTCCTTTCTTTTCTTTCTTTCTTCCTTTCTTTTCTTTCTTTCTTCCTTTCTTTTCTTTCTTTCTTCCTTTCTTTTCTTTCTTTCTTCCTTTCTTTTCTTTCTTTCCTTCTTTCTTTCTTTTCTTTCTTTTCTTTTTCTTTTATTTCTTTCTTTCTTTCTCTTTTTCTTTCTCTTTTTCTTTCTTTCTCTTCTTTCTTTCTTTTTCTTTTTCTTTCTTTCTTCTTTCTTTCTTTCTTTCTTTCTTTCTTTCTTTCTTTTCTTTTTAAGAAAGATTTTTGCTAAAAGGTGTGTGCACTGCACTGGCCAAAGAGACAGAGAGAGATAGAGAGATAGACAGTGAGAAGTCACTGCGTGGGAGAATGGCCACTCCACAATCCCTTCTTCATGCTCTCAGGATTTGGGGCATGTTATGCACACGCACCTGGAGTGAGTTTTAAGCCACCCGGTCCAGTCCAGGACTCAAACTGCAGTGGACTATGTGGGAGTCCTGTGAGTAACCATTACGCCATCTGTTGGTCCCTCATGCATTTTACATGAACTTTTCGAAGAACCCCTGGTACCAGTTTTTCAAATGCAAAAGTGACAACTATGAAAATATACTACAAGAAAAAATGCAGTCAGGACATGTTCCAGAAAAAAGCACTACCTGTATCCTATGTATGGTTTCCCACCTTCCCCATCCACCTGCCAGAGGGAGGAAGAAGAGAAAAAGGAGGGGACTGCTCCTGCCTATGTGCTGAGTACTGTGTGGGGGTGCAGCCTGTGCTCCTATCTTATGTTCCACTTCCCTGGCTCAGTCCTCAGACACATATAGACCAGAAGGTTAGGGTAAGTCAGGGAAGCTAGTCTGCTGACTGAGGGAAGGACTGGCCAAGGGAAAGGCTAACCACTGTCATAACTCAGTCAGTTGGTATCTGGGCTGTGGCCATGGCCTGCAAGTAGCCCCTCAGAGCAAGGAGTCATGAGGAACTTTTGTGGGGCAGGAAGGAGTTGGCAGGAACTTCTGGTTTGTGTCATTTCTGTCTGCAAAAGTAGAGTGAATTGCCTGAAGCCATTGAGGCTCAGGAGGAATTCTCCCAATACCCTGCTGAGAAAAAAAGGGAGAGAAACACATCTCTGAAAATTTGAACTCCAAAATTCCCTTCATGGATTCCAGCACCCTCAAACACAGAAATACAGGGAAACTGGCATGGTGCTAACACAAACTGTAGGGAAGTGCACGACCACACAACTCCTATACCAATGGACCTATTCCAAAGAATTAGAAAGAATTGAGTAGTTCATCAGATACCTAAAAATCAACTCACAGTCCCAAGAAATATGAGAAAACCAGGAAATATCTCTTCCTCAAAGAAACACAGTAACTCCTCACCAACAGTAAATAAAACACAAGATTCATGTTCCACTTCCCTGGCTCAGTCCTCAGACACTAAATTATACCTATTTGCAGATGACATAGTTATATACATAGAAAAATCCAAAAGAATCCATGAAGAAATTCCTAGAAGTGATCAATTAATTCAATAGTGTGGGAGGATACAAAATCAATATACAAAAATCTATAGCATTTTTACACATCAATAATGATCAGACTGAGGAAGTGGTGAAGAAAGCAATCCCATTTACAAAAGCCATTTAAAAAAGAAAAACAAAAAACCCTAGGTATAAGCCAAACAAAACAAGTGGAAGAAACTATGAAGAACTGAAAAAGAAATTGACTATGATACATAAAAATGGAAAGACAACCTATGTTCTTGAATCTAAAAAATATCAAAATTTCAATACCACCCAAATTAATTTACAAATTCAATACAATTCTGATGAAATTGTCAGGGACATTCTTCACAGAAATAAATAAATAAATAAATAAATAAATAAATAAATAAATAAATAAATAAAATTTATTTTGAATCATAGAAGGCTCCATGTTTCCAAGTGGATAAAGTGTAAAAAGAAAAAAGTAGAGTACTCTCACTATCCAACCTCAAATTATATTACAAATCTTTGAAAATCAAAAAAACTTAATAGTAGCACAAAAACAGACACATAGACCAATAGAACAAAGTAGAGAATCTAGAAATAAACATGAAAACATACAACTAACTAATCTTTGTTAAAGGGCACAAGGCAATGCTGTAGAGACAAAATTAAAAATCTTTTCATCAAATAGTGCTGGAATAACTGGATGTCCACCTGCAGAAAAATAAAACTGGACTTGTATCTCTCACCATTAAAAAATCAACTCAAGCCAAATCAAAGAGGGTCCAGCAAGTTTTGTAGTGGTTAAGACGCTGGACTCCCACATAGTCAAATGCAGTTCTAGTCCAGAACCCAATAGCTTAAACTTCACGCTGTGTGTGTGTGTGTGTGTGTGTGTGTGTGTGTGTGTGTACCTGTGTCCAAAATCCCAAGGGGCGAATGGAGGAGAACAGATTGCAGCATGACCCTACCCCTGAGGGGTGATTTCTTGATTTCTGTCTCTGTCTCTCTGGTGGGCACACATACCCTTTAGCGAAAATCTCTCAAAAAACAAAAAAATGGATCAAAGACGAAAATATAAAACTTCAAACTATATAACTGGTGGAAACATGAGTAAACATATAACTATATACTGGTGAACACTACACAACTATATACTGGTGAAAAGATGGGAGAAACCCTTAAAGACATTGGAGTAGGCACAGATTTCTTAAATAAGATCCCCTAATGCACAGGCAATAATCCCAAAAATAGCTGGAATTAAATCAAGCTAAAAACCTTCTGCACAGCAAAGGAAACAATAATTAGAGTGAAAAGACAACCCTCAGAGTGGGAGAAAATATTTGCAAACTATGCTTCGGATAAGGGATTGATAACAGGAATTTATAGGGAACTCAAAAAAATCACCTATAAATATTTGTTTTTATTTTTTACCAAGGTTTTCTTTTCTTTTTTATTAATTTACTTGTTTTTACATTTTTCCCCCCACAAACATTTACTTTACATATCAAAAAATTTTAGCTCATACTCAGTAGTTCTTGACAGTCAATAAACAACTTTCAAAATTTCAAAATACTGAATTTTAAAGATAATGTTCAAAATATTTCTTATAATTTTGTATAATTTTGTTTGTGACTCTATAACAAGAGAGACAGTATGGTTTTAAATATTTTTGAGGAAATATTTACATGTCAACTTCTCAGATTGTTGAAAACAAATGCCCAGCACACAAGTCACACACATATATCTTTTCAATTCAGCCCCGCCTACCAAGTGTTCTGTGAGATACCATCTGCTAGCAAAGATCAGTCTCTTTTTCTTCATTCAAAGTCTTTCTCAAGATAATCCTCTGGTGTGGTTGCTCTTTTGCAATCTCTACTAATTACAGTGCTGGGCTGGAAAAATCCAGGTTATTTTATGTTATAAATTCTTTCATATATCTTTTCTAATCCTCTCTGCCAGGCAGAACTATTTATGGTGCCAGGCCA